CGCCTCAAATATAGAAAGAAGATTACTGGTACGTATTGATTCTTTACCCTGATGGGAATTGTTAGATGTCAGACACAGGGGTGGAGAACCTGTGTTCACACGAACTAGAAACACGTTCGGTGAGTCACTATTTCCAGCCTTCGAATTTTATAGACCTACATTGCCATTGTCCATCTCTATCTGTAGCTTTGCTCATTCATGGTCTATACATTCACTCTCGCGAGAGTGGCCTTTGGAAAATGATCTGTAGAGAATGCCAATACTCATATTGATTTTTTTTTTAAAAGGTGCAGGTTGACAGGGTTAAACCTGTTGCTAGAGGATGGTGATTTATGGTCCATTACCAGGTCAGAGTGTCAATACAATCACAAGATGGAAGCTGCATCTTCTGGAATTATGCCCTTATCTGACTCCAAATATGTGATGATTTGGACAAAAATGTACTTTGGTTTTCAAATAAACTGTACAGAGGAGATATATAAGAAAACCAAATAAGTTATACATTTTGTCAGTACCGCTCAAGAGTATGCTTGGTTATAAGTGCATGATTTTGAAACAGTTTAAATTTAATCATATGGAAGAGATGGATACAGTCTAGGATTAAATTGCTCGAATTGCTTGCCCTCCAGACGTGTCCTATAAAATAAGCCCTGATTGCTTAATGGATTGTACCCACTGTAGGGGGTCAGGGACAAAGCAGGGAGGAACCTGTTTGGAACAAGACATTTTTTGAAATAATATGCCTTATATATTTAGAAATTAGTATAAGCTACATGTTATAGCTTAGCCTTGTTTCTAATGATATCAAATTATTCTAAATGACTCTCTCTAACATGCCCCGAATTCTTCCAATAAAAGTCAAGCCCTGTGAAGAATGGCTTCATTATCCAACATCTGAGTCTGCCCTCACTCATTGCTGACCGTTGATGAAATTCATGGATTTGGTGGGTCTGTGTGATTTCTCTGAACCTTCAGAGAAACATCCTAAGATATTTCAAAGAATGCATGATTCAAGAGGAGGAATGAAACAAGGTTTCTGTTTGTGTTTTTGGAAGAGAAGTTTTTTTTAAAAAAAAAATCTCTATTTTTAACATGGAACAGATACTATTGTGCATTCCAGTGTCATCGCGGTTATTTGTATTCTGTTTCTAGGAATCCCATGAGCTTTGTCTCCTCCAATAATGCCAACTTGAGCTGCTTGATTCTTAGAATCTCCTTAGGCACCTCCATGCCTGTGTCACGCTGGAACTCATCCTAACCAGATGTCCATTTTCTTCCTTGCTTCTGTTCCCCATACATATAAAAATGCAAGCCCATAATATAGTCATATTTGACCTGCCTTTCCATCCCCCCATTCAGTTATTGAACAGACTTCAGAGATTCACCTGTCATGGTCAGTTCATCACTTTCTTCTTAGGTTAGTCACTTTAACTGATATTTCCAACTTCTTGTTTTATCCTATCAGTCTACCCAGAATATTACCAGCAAACTCACCTTTAAATTATTTGCCAGATGGTAACAAGTTACTCCCTACTAGTAAGCAAATAAAAAGGCTCAACAAAGTTCAGTCAGACAGGCTTAGCAGCATGTTAGGTAAAAACTTCTCTTGGAGGCGGACGATTTTAAGTTACCCTGTTTATTTCTTTTCCATCGACCTTTGTTTAAGAGACTTCTGACTCTTGTTTTGTGAACATGCCACACTTCAGTCAATCTCTCTGCCGTTTCTTCCCTCTGGAGTTTCAACTTGCCCTTCCCATCCTCAGGTTATGTTTGATGTGCCCATCTGTGCAATCCAGAGCGGAAACTTCTGAAGTGCTACCTCCATACTTGCTTGCTTCCCATACTAGTCTTTGCCTTAACTCACGTTTCATTCAAAAGCTTTTTGTTAAGGCAGGCACCATTGACCATCAGCTGGAATTTAAATCATTCATTCACTCATTCCACAGAGAAACATAATGAGTGTTCAGTGTATATCAGGATTCCTGCTGAAGGTGGAATACAAACCAAGGAATATGTCGCATAATATAGAAATAGTGTTATCGTATTTTCTGTATACTTCCCAGAGAGCAAGAATTATTAGTCTTTCTCCACTTTATAGCTCGTCTGCCTTTTGGGTTATTTGTTCAGTAATACAGTGTTATCCTGGAGGCTGTCAGTCAGAAAAAAAAACTTTTCTCCAGCTATAGTAGCCAACAATTTTCAGAAGTTATTATTTTTTTATCTTCATACAACAATTAGACCTCAGCATGACAGTTTTCAATCAAAATTTGTGTTTGCTTTCCTCCCTCATCTCACTCCTGTCCTCCTTCCCCCTTTGTACCTGCCTGCTTTCCTATGCCATGTGTCTCCCTGCAACACCTCTGTCTCCCCTTTTGTGGTCCTCTAATTAGTGTCGTCATCTATACCCTCACACCCCTTTATTTACATGTATAAAAATGTTAAAAGTAAGAATGTGCATATAGGAGACATGCAATTAAAAAAAAACTTCCTGATTCACCTCATTTAATGTAATATTTTCCAGATCCATCCATTTTATTCCAAATTTCATTCCTCCTTATGACTTAATTTTATTAAAAATTCCATTGTGTGTATGCACCCCATTTCCATTCTTGTGTGAATGGATATAGAGTCTATATCCATTTCCTTGCTAATATGAACAATGTGACAGTAAACATAGGACATGGAGGGCTTTGGATGTATGCCTAGGAGTGGTGTAGCTGGCTCATGCTGTAGGCCTGCTTTAAATTTTTTTGAGAAATCCTCATGTTTTAAGGAAAGTTAACAAAATATCGAAATTGTATATGAGCCTTGCATAATGTGTAAAGGGAAAAGTTTGACAGTATGATGCTTTCAGAATCCCATAAGGCAGCCTGGCGAGGGGAAACTAAGTTGATCATTGTATGATAAAGCCTACTCAGGGCTTATGACCTTGGCATAAAGCCAACTAGGCCATTCTAAATTTAGAAGAGGGGACAGGGAAGTAGCCTGTTCCTCATTGACAACCCAAAATTCCATATACATGTGTTAACACCGTGAAAACCTTAAAAACAGTGTGATTGTTCTGGACACAGACCTCGGTCATTGTACATGTGCTATAAAGCGAGTATCAGCGAATGGTCAATAAGGGAAAAGTAATGTTTGAGTATCCGCTGCCCCCAAGCTTCACCTCCTACAGTAACCATGTGATGACGATAGTGGTCAAAGAGTCGAGGAAACGGCATAGTTCAATGCTGCAGCTCCTCCCCACTACAGATCTCTTCGCTAACACTACGGTTCTATGTTTGGAATACCAGGCATAGCATCTGCTTGCTAGCGGTTGCCATAGAGAGTAGAAGGAAAAAAGAGCAATTTTCTCCTAACCTTCTCAGTGACACAGTGTGGTTTAGTTTGTTTCCAGTTTTGTTCAGACCATATAACTCTGGCTGGCCTGGAAATGTCTATGTGGTTCACATTGGCCTTGATCTTACAATGATTTACCTCCCGAGTGTTAGGATTTCTTCTCAATGTTTGGTTTTGCTATTACTTAACTTGTTGGCTGTGGTTAAGCTTACTGTTAGATCTAGGTTTTTACTGTGTCTTGTTATGGAGGTCTAGTGGGTTCACTCTTTTGGAATAGCATAACAGATTATTACTTTCAGGACTACACACACACACACACACATGAATTTATTTAGTCACAAGAAAGGTGATGCTGTACACAACATATACAAACAGATACAGTTTGCTTCTTTAGTCCTTTGATACCTAAAGGACTAACACAGTATTTGTCCCATAAAGGACGCAAAAGACTCAAATGTGGAGACTGATAAATATTTTTTGCTTGATTTTTTCTTATGAATTTTGTACTTTTGGTTAAAATTTTAGGTTTCAGTGAAACATAGATTTCGTGCTAGGTGACTACGCTGGAGCTGCCTAGATATTTGTGATTTAAGCATTGAAGCTGGATTCTCTATCATTATTTTGTGGCATATACCCCGAATTACTACTAAACAAAATCATTTTCCTGGGACACCATCCTTCACCATTGTGACAGATAGAACCACTATGGCGCACATTGATGTGTGCTGTATGCTGTAGAAACACAACCCCTACTTACACAAATGGAAAGATTGAATCAAAAGTTTCCATATTCCAGTAGGCCACTATAATTTTGTAGATATCAGTTTAAAATTGGGTTCTGTGTATGCATCACAAGGGTACAAATACGCTGGAGAAATTTATCATATATTATACCCAATTATGTCAGCGGGCTATGAATCACATCCAATTATCAAGATGCATAAGTGCATTTATGTGATACTTAAACATCATTAATTTTGTGCTGAGCACTGGCTGCATAGACAACATCCTTTTAGTGACTTCCAACATCACTGTCACAGCACCAATATAAATTCAATGCAAATTGGAAAATGAAAATCTTCATCTTGTTTATATCTGTGAAAAGACATCTGCTAAACACAGGCATACATTGAATCAACACTAGCTATTGCGAAAAACGGAGTTTGAATGTACCACAGAGAATCTCCGGACAGGAACTACAGCACAATGTAGGCCAGTTCGGACTAAGCTTTGCTTGCTAGCCAAAGCATCCCCTTGGGATTTCTACAAGTGGTCATTAAAGTCCAACTGGACCAAAATGGCTTAAGTTAAAAAACAAACAAACAAACAAACAGAACCCTAGGAAATTGGCATTCCTATCTCACAATGAACTGGATTGACTGGTTAACTTCTAACTGTAAGTTATCTACTTCTACCTATTATAAAGTAGACCTTTATTTGTCTAGAAAATGTCCTTAGAGGAATACCTAGAAGTCTAAACCATTTACTTCCAGCCATGTATTGAGGAAGGATCCTAATTTTTGAGCCCTGACTTCCGTAAGTAACGATGACACAATGGCAGTTCTATATCCACGGAGCTACATGCGTTGCTGCGTTTGAGTAGTTACAACTCAATCTTGAGTTAAATAATTAAAATTATAAAGCAATTTATAGGGACTTACCTCAAAGTCAAGGTCGGAATACCGTGATTTCCTTCTCTGTTTGTTTTTAGAAGAAGGAGAAAAGCAACAAAGTTATGTTTAGTCAGTTAAACCAATAGAAGTCATTACATCCTATGAAAACAACCACACTTGCTCTTCACATTATGCCATTTCATTAAGATTATTTTTCTGATTTTGAAATTTTCCATCTACGTATGTTGGTCACCCCGAGCTTCCTTGAAAAACTGAAGGCTAGAGAAACACAGGCATTTTCCACCGTGAGTTCTGACATCAGTTGTCAGTCAGGAAAGCTGCTTCTTGGGAAAATTCCATCTGCCTTCAGTCTTGAAAGAGATTCTAGTTTCAGCCAAAACCACTTTGCAGGCAGGGAGGATTAGAAGTTGTATCAGAAAAATAATCTGGGAACGTTGACACCTCCCACCAACAGATATCCAGCTTGTTTTTTAAACAGGCTTTTGCAATGTTGCTCAGGCTGTTCTCGGCACTCAGAGTTTATCTTGCCTCAGCTTCTGGGGTGCCGAGACCTCACCTCATGCCAAGCAAACTCTGTCTGCCTGTCTGTTTAAGCTCTGAAGTTCCTAAGGTCAGTCTTGTACAAGTTTCTTAGAATTAGATCATCTCGTCTCCTAGTCCTTGTTCCTAGTTCTTAGGAGCCAGACAATATTTTTAAAATTCCGATTTCATCAAACCACCGCTATTCCACACCCTAACACAGTGTCTCACAGTCTTTCTCTCTGACTCTAAATCTGTTAAACAGCATCCAAACCTAGTTACAGATACACAGGCATTGATGAGATAAAGCAATTAGGCAGTGGGCTTGATAAAATCAGGAAATATGATTAAAACAAAATGAAAGCAGGCCCCTGTGAGGATGCGGCTTTCGTGATTATTAATATGGGGGTAGTATTTTTAGCATCTGCTCCAGAGAGCCACTGATTCTTAAAATGGATGAGGTGTAGAGGGAGAGGCCTGTAAATGTCTAAAAAGATCCCCGCATTTTTAGAGAACAAAGCAAATCTCTGCCGTGCTTTTTCTTTAAGTGGACTCCCTGCCTGCTTAAAGGGGGTGGGGAAGAAACATAAGGGAGACATGCAAACCCTTTGGGCAGGTTCCGTTTTGTTTTTTTCCCTACTCCCAGCTCAGTTCCCATAACCTTAAAGCCACTAGCTTCTCAGGCTTCCGTCACCCTGCGAATTCATGGCAGCTCTAGTTGCTATTATGACTGTTGCTCGCTAGGAAAGACAAGAAAAGGACTCGTGAAAGGCGATTTTCTGCAGCTAGAGCTCTAACTGCCATTAGAAACCCAGACCCTCCTGTGCAGCCTGCCCTCAGAAGCATGTGTCAGCAGGCAGAAGGGCTAAAGGAGGAAACAGGGACCGATCAGATGCCATCTCATTGGGGTGGAGCTGCTGAGCGTGGGGAATCCACTACGAAGAATACCGGGGAGAGAGCAGGAAGGGACACGCCTTATTGAAATGGAAACTCAAATAGGATGCTCTCTCATTTCCTCCCTGTCTCCATCAGCATGCTACCTTCATGCTGGTGACATCCTTGGGAGAGGAAGGGTTGTGAGAACACCTCTAAACAGATCTGGCTCTGTACTGCCCTTTTCGGCAGTCTGCTAGACTGAGTGTCAGGGCTTCCATTCTTCCCTCCTAGGGATGCTGGGTCTTCTTCAAAGCGCTGTGATTCAGCAAGGCACTTTTTTTCTTTAATAAATATGTGTTAAACAAAACTCTTTACAATACAGAAAATCTAAGCATGAAAACACTTAGTTAAAAGCAGTTATTATGAAACATTAGTCATGAGCTTCACATTCCTTCTGAAAATGAACCGGTGGAATCTTGCAAAAGAGGTTCAGCCAGCTAGAAGGAGAGAGCCTTCTGCTGTTTGCTCTGAGGGCCTCTCTGCTGCCAAAGGTGAAAACGGCCATATGTTACCGCGTTTGTTTCGGATCACAAGGCAGTGCTGCCTAGGAACTGGAGATTTCCGTGCACGCATGCTGCAAAAGGCTCCGTGCTGTAGAAACTAGAGGGAAAGATGGGAACCTAAAAAGCCCAGCACCAGATTCCAGGCTAGAATCCCAAGGCCGCCTATGCCAACATGCCACAGGGAAAGAAAACAGATGTTCCTACAAACGGCACTCTCCTTCTCCCTTGTCTCCTATTCAATTTCATTAGAATTAGAGCCAAACAAAGGGCATAGCAGGTCTGGCAGTCTGCAAGATTAGATGAAGGCATGAGCAAATGAATCACACAGATGTTAATCAAAACCCGGTGGGATGGTGGGGACAGTTACTAAATCAATCAGGGAGGTTTAAAGATCAGCTAGTATGGGAAATGCGTCCGATATTTTTAATCCAAAGGAAATAAAGGGGCGCATGGCTATTCACTTCTCCACAAGACTGAGTACTTCAACCTTGTGCATCTTATAAAATGATTTCAAATTTGAACATGATAACCACTCTGTGGAACGGTCGGAAAATAGTGTTATTTTTGACTGAGTGTAACCGAGAGCCGGTAGTTTGACCAACTCACACAGAAGGTAATCAAGTGAACGGTGCTGAAAACTCAGGTCTTATTATAAGTCCAGTGTTTTCCATGTGAGGTCTCACTAGCTCAGGTATGCAGAATAATAGTTGACAAACAAGATGCCTGGGGTAATTTGCATACTGTTCTGGAACTAAGCAAGAGTCACACTAGATGACCCGGGTAGACCACGAGCACAGCAATGGGACTAGATGCTTTGGAAGCACAAGGCAAGGTCAAATGGATTAACTTTTCCAGGCAAATTGTACAAAGAAGAAGAAGGAGAAGGAAAAGGAGAAGAGGAGGAAGAGGTGGAAGAAGAAGAAGAAGAAGAAGAAGAAGAAGAAGAAGAAGAAGAAGAAGAAGAAGAAGAAGAGAAGGAGGAGGAGGAGGAAGAAGAAGAAGTTAACATGATGATGTTTATTTCATCTGTTTTGGGTAAAATCAAACCAAAATAAAAAAAATGTGATATCATTCTAATAGACCAATTATGAGCAATGCTACAATAACAAACAGATGTGACACTTGCTACTGAAAAGTTCAGCTATCTATGTGTCAGGCCCTGATACATTGGCAGTCCAAGGGGGAAACCAGAAAAATCCCAACCCATTTTGCTTTTGTGTGTGTCTACCCTGTGTGCATAAATATGCACTGTTTGGGAAAGTCTTTCAAGGCAGAAGTTTGCTGAGACTGTGACTCAGCTCCGGGCTTACTCCAATGTTCCTCTGTGCCTTGTAGAATGCCACTGTAAGGCATGAAGTGGCGGGAGATATTGACTATGTTTGTATGCCTGTTCACGTGTGTACACACGTTCCTGTGTGTGTACGCATGTGTGTGGGGGCTAGAAGACCTCAGGTGTCCCTCAAGTACTGTCCACTGTTTGTTTGTTTTCTGTCTTCCCAGTGTTTGGGTTATAAACATGTGCCTGGCTTTTTTTCAGGTGGGTACGAGGGACTGAAATGGAGTCGTCATGATCACAATGCAAGCTCTTTCCTAACTGACACATGCCCTCAGCTCTGACCATATATCTGAACAAAGAGAATCAACTAAGTATTCGAGCCACACAATATTTTTTTAAAAAAATAATTTGATAACTAAAAAGAAATTACACGTAAAATTAAAGCAAGCCAATGTGATGTTAAATTTTTGTGAAGATCCGGGTCTCCCTGCCTACAAAGCCTACATTTCCAGGGAACTTAAAACCCATCCTTCTTTCTGATGCAGTTTCCTTTTCGCAATCCTCCTCTCAGAACTCATCCCAATTGCATTATGCTTTTAACACTCCATTAAAATTCTTGTCAAAGGCCTTTAATGAGCTCCATTTGGACAAACAGCAAGGTCAATTTTCCACCCTCATTTCACTGGACTCTCAGAAGCTCGAGAAAGTTAATCACTTCCTCATTAAAGCTTTCATCAGCTCTCGGCTTTTTCTTTCCCCTCTTTTTTCTTCTTTCAGTTACTGTGACTCCGTTTGAAATCTTCTTTTGCTGGCTGTTTCCTATGCCCAGTCTTTCTAAATATGGAGCTCCTGAGATCTATTCCGTCCTGTATGCTCTCCTGGATGACATGGCTTACCCCTTAGGTTTTAATACTACCTTTCAATATGCAAATATCCTTTTTTTACATGGTCTTTCTTATCACAGACAATACTAATAACTAGTCAACCAAGACAAAGTCTCGGAACTGTCCCTCCTATACACATATCCCTCATCTTCCATATTAAATCCTCTCGTGGGTTATGTATTTGATCTCTGCAATGTACCTACCGGTCCATCCCCTCTTTTGCCACCTACACATTTGCCTCTTTAGTCCTATTTAATTAGCTGCATAGCCTTAGCATTTGAAAGAGGATATGTCAAACAGCATGTGGCTGCAAAATTCTTGACAAGTGATTGAAGGAGTGTAATATGACAGGCCCAGAACTTAAACTCATGTGACCTTTGTTTTATTGTTGCTGTTTTAAAGAAGGATTTGGATAACTAAGTGACCTCCATACAGAGAAGACTGGCAATGAAAAGAGGCAGAACAATTGATTAGGAAAGCATACCTTTTACTGATAGAAGGGAGACATTCTTTAAGATGCTTTAAAAGTTGAGAAAATGTGTCATGGTCTCAGCTAAAGGGGCTGCTTAGTGCATGTGCGCCTAGAGAGACCTCCACGAGAGACTCTTGTCAAATGATGAATAATTTCTCGGAGGAGCTATGTCATTCTTTGTGTCACTGAAAATTAAACTGGACAAGACACTAGACGATTCACAGCAAGTAATGAATCCCATTGACTAATGAATGGCAATATGAATGCTATTAAAAGTTTCTATTACAGGGTGAGCAAAGGACTCACTCACAGGAAGAAAGCTTTGATAACAAATCCATTAAAAATAGCTGTGGCAATGAAGTCTGGGAATAATTAATTTTCTGAAATGGCTTTTATTCACGCTAATTTTGTTTGTATGCCTGCATAAAAGATAAGATTCTCTAACTTGGGAGCAAAAACAAAGCAATAAAGAT